AAGAGTATCTTGCTCCCATCGGTTTTATTTTAGGTGGAGCCAGTGTGATGCTAACTTTTGTGTTGGCCTACAAAAATAAGGCATCCTTGCACTACTCTATAACATTAACCAAATACGATGAGCTTGCTCGCTACAAGCTCATTTTATTGGTAAAAAGCGTATGCAGAAATTGTACTTTACTCTGTGGTAGTTACAAACTTTATGTACGATCCTTTTGCAATTATCAATTTGTCCTCTACTCTTCTTGTGGCGCTACAATAAAATGAATTGCACATTTCTGATGATAGTGAATCTGTAGCAGTGTAGAGGCTTAAGTGGTAGACCAGGGGTCTCAAACTTGCGGCCTGCGGGCCATTTGTGGCCCTCGGGACGATATTTTGTGGCCCCCACCTTAATATGAGAGTTTAATGTTAGTGCAGCCCGCGAGTTTTTACAATTTTTACAACCTCCACCTCCACCCCCTGTCGACCGTACAGTTCGCCGGTCAGACTGTCAGCGCCACCCCCCCGTCGGCCGTAATGGTCTGGCCCACGTTCGGTCGAGGTGGGCTGCATCGGGCCCGCACCTGAATTGAGTTTGAGACCCCTGTGGTGCACTATGGGAACAACAAATGTGTTGTATAACTAACATATTTCACTGGAAAATGCTTAAAGATGACTCAGAGTTCAGTTACTGCCTCCAAAAACCTCCAGTCCTCGACACGGTGACTTGAGCTCGTGGAATGAGGTTACGTTAGGGTTCTATTTTCTGCTGCATCTGAGACAAGGTCAACATTAAAATGATCAAATGTCTGAACTGAGACACATACGTGTAGTGGCTCAGAGTCTATAGGTTCATATCAGTGGCATTAGTGACAGTCATAATACAATTTAAAATGGAATTCAATTGGAGTAATGCTCTCGGCTTTGCTTTTCTCAAACATTTAATGAAAAAAATGTAAAAATGAATTTGCGATCGTGGCGCAAACATGTCCAATCAATAAAAAGGCTTTAAAACACAGCACACAGCGAAAAACAGTTTGGGCTTTGACCCGTCCCACCACCGATGTGGTCAGAAGGTGAGCTCAACCGCCGCCTCCCAAGATAAAATTCAGAACTAATCAGAGCTGATCCCATTCGTATCCATTATGCCGGGAGGTGGATCGATCGTGGCACGGTGTGCAGCTCATCGCTCCGGGCCTGTCAGGAGGGGGAAGTCCTAATCTATGAGAAAATGGCCAGCGACCAGCGCAAGACACGTATGAATGAAACATGGATGTTTATCAGGATGGAGAGGATTTATTTAGATGCGTGTGCGACTAAGTGTTTGATGTTGCTCTTTGAACACAATGTGAGCCTAGGGTTGATCGGATGGGAGGGGTGGCGCCCGTTTGTATGTATGCGTGTGCGTGCACGCCTGCCTGTGTGCGTGTGCGTATGTGTTATCTTTTTTCCCCCTGTTATGGCGTTTGAAATGCTTTTTTTCCCTTCTTATTTAAACCATGTTGCTTTGGTACCCCCTGAGCTTTCAAACCCCTGGGTGGTCGATATGGCCTAGTTTTTAAAATTTTCCTGCTGCACACAAACAACTGGAGCGCACACACGCACACACACACACACACACACACAAACACACACACACACACACGCAAACACACAGTGCACCGTCAGCCACGCAAACTCAGACTGTGTAAGCGAATCGACAGAACACGTATGAAGGTGCTTTTGTTCTTTTTCATTTTCATACCATCGGACGGAGGAAAGCGTCTGAGGAGGGAGAAAAAAGGGAGAACGGTGGAAGGGAAGGGAGGTGAGGGGGAGGAGATTGAAAGGATTGGGGAGAAGAAGACAGAGTATAATAATGTGTCACAGTATATGGAGCCCAGCCAAGACACACGCTGTGAATAATCTGTGGTGTTTCTTTTTTTTTTTTTTATGCTGAGCCGGTTGTTGTAGCATTAAAAATATAAAGCCGAGTATGTCCCGGTGTCTGGCTCGCCTTAATGATGACAGCCCAGGGGGGGAAGGATAATTAAGACAAAAAGGACGAGGAGTGTGCCTGCATATAGTTTTAACACATTCACAATCCTGAGCCGCCTCAACACATGAAATGAAAGGAAATAAGACGTGTGACCAGGAGCTCGGAGTTCATCAGGCCCAGTGGACGTTCATGTCACAGCACTGCACTGTGTCCGCGAAGAAGACGTCTCCGATCCACAGAAAAGCTGCCAAGCCCAGTCTGCATGAAGATGTGCGTATACTCGGCAAAGAATTGCCTCCTATTATTTTGGTGAATCTCGAAAAAGCGATACACAGATGGATACAGATAAGTGTGCAGGTGCATGGCGATAACATTCTTCATCGTGGAATCCTGGTTTAGGCCTAAATCTACTGAAGTGTCGAGTCCCAGAGTGTCTTAAGTAAACCCGCTCAAAAGGAAAGAACGTCGGAAACTTTAAATCCATAAAGTGAAAGGCTTTATGAGAAAAACAATTTTGCCCTTCCCCTTGACTTCCCTCTCGTCCGACCTCCGCAAGGAGACACGAAAATGATTCGATTGATTGACCAATCACCCAACCGGGCGACTGATTCACATACGGGGAATCTTTTAGTAAACAGTGCCACATGGTTAACATTTGATTGCACATGAACACGAGAGGGTTTTGCATTCTGCGTGGCGCGCGCGAGGCAACTGATCGATACTCCAACAAAATCACAAATCATAAACCCACATTCACACGCATGCGGCTGACACACAAACACTTCGTCCCACACGCTCTGTAAATAGAGAGCAGGATGTTGCAGACGCTCGGGTGCGTGAACAAACAAGAGAGGCTCCTGGGGAGAGCGAGGGATGGAGGGGATGAAGACGGATGGAGAGAGGGGTAGGTGGACAGATGAAGTGGTGACTCAGGGATGAGATGTGAAAAGAAAAAGATCCGCCACTTGGAAAGACTCCTACTCCCCCTAAGCTCCTCGTTCGCTCCCTCCAGTGGACAGCAAAGTGGGCATGAGACGGACACGGACCTCACCCTGACCTCTGCCCCCTCTCCCTTCACGCTCCATCCATCTTCTCTCCCCCTCCTCTCCTTCCTGTCCTCGCGCCGGTGACCGTCCAGCAGACTTCCACGCTCGCTTTTTGTGAGCAGCAGCAGCCCGGCGAGATTGCAGCTAATGAAAGAGATGATATTCAGGAGATGGGACACCGACCTTCTGCCTGCAGATTTATTTATTTTTATCATGAAAGTGTAAAAAAGGAATAACTGGTGAAATGAGGCTCCACTGTGGTTGCACTGTTGGCTCACACCAAAGAACAGACTTGCTTTGAAAATGAAATATTAGACTTGTTCAGTAGCATGTAACTCATGCCATCAATGGTACATGAATGTATGAAATGTATATGCGTGTGTAAACATTTGAGATGGAAACGCTGTCGCTGGAGGCGGTGAGCCATATGTTGTTTAGCTTCATGATCGGTGCACCTCTGCTCTTTCTTCTGTACAGGTTAAAGCTTCATTGACTTTAAAGTTTATTTGTTTCCAAGATGTATGTGCTTTTGCAAAGACAAGGTGTCCCAGTACTGCTTTAAAAGGGAACCCAGCCATATGCGTGGGTGTGTGGAAGCATTAATTTATTTTCGTGAATTCATTTTCTTTTGACGCGGTGCATTCGTCAAAACAGTGAGAAGATTAGTGCTTTTCCCCAAATCAATGTGTGGATGATAATCGCCGCTGCTGATGCTGCAGGTCTCTAGAGCGTCGCCTCCGCCGCCTGAGGTACACGCCACGTCTGGCCGCCTGGGTCACCTCCTGAAAGCGTCTGTGAGGAGCATGGCAGCAGATGAGGTTTGAAGAGGTTCTCGTCCTGTCCAACGTCGATGTGGCCCGAGCAAGTAGCCGACGTTTTCAAGAAAGGTTGTATGACAACTGCACGGGGTTAGGTCATGGGTCACGTGTGTGTGTGTGTGAGTGCGCGTGTGTGTGTGCATAAGTGTGTGTGTGAGATTCCCTGAGTGAATATGCACCTGTGTTACATTCTGCAGCAACCGCTGATCTCAAAAACACCGTTTACTGTGTGTTTTATGCGATTTGCTCATTCGCGGGTCCCGACCAGCCCCCGGTCCAGACAGGGGTCCCCTGGTCATAACACAGCTGCACCGCTTCCCCGAGCCGCTGGAGACAAAGCGGGGTACAAAAGTCTGCTTGCTTTGTTGTGCGGATAAATGGTAAATGGTAAATGGACTGTACTTGTATAGCGCTTTTCTAGTCTTCTGACCACTCAAAGAGCTTTAACACTACACAACATTCACCCATTCACACCCATTCACACCCATTCACACACTGATGACAGGAGAACCACACAGTGACACCTGCCATCAGTAACTACCATTCACACACTGTAGTCGCAGATACAGGGGCAATGTTGGGTTAAGTGTCTTGCCCAAGGACACAACGACATGGGGGTTAGCCGGGCCTGGGATCGAACCCACAACCCTCTGATTGGAGGACGACCGTGCTCCGCACTCACCCACAGTCGGATGGTGTGTTTGCCTAACCGCTAACGGCTAGCGCCTAGCTGTACCCTGCGTATACTTCAGCGCTGCTACGCGGGCCCCTGGCGGCGTGCCCACCTTCTTTTGGTCTCTTTGACACGTTAAGCTAATTGCCTTCGCACTTCACGACTGGCTTTGTGTGTTCGACCGACATGCTTTTGTGTTGGTCTTTGCTTGTGTGAACCTTTCCTCCGGGGTGGGGAGGGGGTCTCTCCTGGAGGCCTGGGGGCAGGTGGACGGACCGTTGATGGCACACAACTCACATTATTTACTAATGCGTTACACTTTAGTTCAGTTATTTTGCGTTTCACACCTTGAGCCAGTTGAATAACTTTTAAGTGCCAGATTAATTATTATTTAAAAAAATAATTATTTTCAATTATGTGGATCTGTCTCTGACTACTATTGTCTGACTCTCCCTCCCTGCTCCTCCCTCTCTCTCTCCCTCCCTCCCTCCCTCTCTCTCTCTGGAGCTTATCTCGGTGCGCATCGTCAGCATCAGTTTAAAGTCCTCTCTGACAGCCGCTGCCTTCGCCCGGTCCTCTTCCCCCCTCCCCGCCTGGTTCCCTCCCCGGCGGTCATCCCGGCTCGTTTCCGAGGTACAGTCCCGGGTGAGCGGGCTGAACGCGCGCGGTCTAATCGGTCGCACTTTGTTTTTTGGGGCGCTCGGGTCGGGCGGATGTGGCGGTGGGCTTGACCTCGATTTTGCTCCCGGGATGTAAGAGAGTCCAAAGCCTCTCCCTCAACGTGCTCTTCTTACTCCCCCCTTTTTTTCTCCCCCCTCCCTCCCTCCCTCTGTTCGCAGTTCGGTCGGGACCGTGGGAGCGCGTCCGATCGCCGTCTTCAACTTGGGGCGCAGAAAGAGGGGAAAAGTCCTGTGGATTCTCCGTACGCTGAGCGGCCGCCCGCACCTTCCGGTGAGCACCACCTTCCGCGCTGTAGCGCTTCGTTTGGGCCGAAACGCGCCGAAAGTTCGAGTGTTTGATGTGTAGCGGTGACTGTTTGGCTCGTGACACTAACGGAACAAAGGCGGACGAAGTAAAGGTGTCTTTATTCGGCTCGGACACGCGCTTTATGCCCGCGAATGAAAGGTTGTGACATTAACCAGTGGGCACTTTCCTCTCTGGGGGGTAAACAGGGGGTTCGGAGTGAAAAGAAACATTTGAGGGACGCCTCGGGGAAGTGCTGCTGCCCTTCTTTTACGAGCAGGGTTTTATTACTTCTTTTTATTTCTCTGTAATGAAGTCATTGTCTGATATCGTTCTTAAGCCTCTTCTATGCCATTAAGTCCCATCACCACCCAGTGCCGTCCCTCCCCACCACTGACTGCTGGTACAAATCTATGGGGCCATTTGCTGTATTTTTTTATTTTTTATTGTCCTGTTTATCAATTAAGCTTGTCTATAATGGAGACATCACACTTCCTCCAGCATAAAACATTACTCTCCCACACACCATCCGCTACCATCTCACCTCCCACACAGCCACACTCGCTGGTTACGTGCCACCATTTGCACTAATAGAGAGGCCCCTACTTAATGTAATGACAGCTCGATCTGTCAGCCCGCGTGCAACAGAGGGGGCCGCTTAAAGGCCGGCGACCGCCAGCCGCCGAGGGCAGACCGGGGAACCGCGAAGACGTGGCGGACATGACAAAGTGCCTTTGAGAGGAGCGCCCGAGTAGTTTGCTGATGGGTTTTATTTGTCTGTGTACAGTGTGGAATGTGTGTGTGTGTGTGTGTGTGTGTGTAACATCTCTGCTCAGTCATGTGTATGTAAGGAAAGTTTAAGTGAGCAAAAGGAAAAGAGAGGGAGGGAGGGAGAGAGAGAGATTATGCTAACTCAAAGTATTGGAGGAAGAAGAAAACCCATGTAAGCAGTTTTTCTTTTGGCTTATATATTTATATATTTAGCTGTCGCTGATTCTTCTGGCTCTGACGTGCACGTCACCGTAGCACAAGATTTATACCAAAGAAGGCCGGAGCGACTGCGAGACAAACAAGGGGAGGCTGAGAGGATTGATCGAACAAGAACGCCGACTTAAACGCTAACGAGGGGCCCTCGTCACTGGGGGGGGGTATACGAGGACAGGAGGGAGGGGTCCGCCGTTCTGCATCCCTGCCTAACAAAAGGCCATAGGTGAGGCGTGGATGGACTTCTTTTTTTAAATTTCAAGTAGAAAAAAAAAAAAACTCCTCAAAGGAAATTGATTTCATTCGGTTTGCGTCCCGTGTCCACCACTCTTCAGTTCCACTGTCTCTCTTTCTTGTCAGGGATTCACACAGATGTTCCAGCAGAGATTTCGATCCTAATTGTAGGCATGGCCGGGCAATCATGCAACGAACCAATCGTTTGGCCTCGGACAACCCCATCAGGTTTTAGTTTTTTATGTTGGCTGAGAAGGAGATGACGTATTCTCAGCTGATGTGGATGACGCGGTGTCACTGATGGCAGTCAAGGTGATGGTGATGGTGATGATAGTGGTGATAGTGGTGATAGTGGTGCGCTTTGGCTCTTGCAGTAAGTACTTACGGCTATGAGAAGTAATCCTCTATGGTTCATATACAGCCTCAGTATCAGAGCCGAAACGCGCAGCAGCTTCTCAGGGAGCGTTGGTCATGACCAAGGCCACATGAAGAGCACGGCAGGGCGACATCAAGTCAAGACCAAAACTTGAGACTAGGGCTGCAACTAACCATTACCTTCGGAATCGATTAATCTATTGACTATTTTTTTTTGATTAGTCGGCTAAACGATTACGTACCACAGTGTAGGAGCGTGGAAGCAAACTAAGAGGCAAGCATTCCTTTTACAACGTGTGGCTGCTCATTTCCATCCAATAACATCTCTCACACATTCACAGAAAGTTTTAAAAGGAACTCAAAATAGCAATAAAGTCAATGCAAGAGACGAGCATGTGGAGGATGTTCTCTGTCCAGACACAAGCTTTTGCTTAGTACTAAAAGAGAAAGAGAAAAACACAGAGCTTAAATTATCACGTTGTAGGCTTTAGTATCATAGTTTGTATTATGCCGTATTATACGAGTAGATCTCTCGTAATTGTGTTGATATGACATTTTTTTGCTAAGTGGTGCTAAGCGGAGTGCGAGTGGAGGTTAACGTTAACTATTCAGCACAAACGAAAAGACTACTGTGATAATTCACCGATCTACTACACTGCATTTAGCATAAGAGCGTTGTACAGCATCCTCCACGAGACGTTCTGTGCTCCAACAGCTAAGTGTAAACCTTACGATTAGTTAACAAAGCTAGCGTTACTTTACTTAACTAAACTTACGCATGAGGAGAAGACGCGGTGGCTCCAGCACGCTCGCGTTGTAAATGTTCCACGTTGCCGTGGTGACGCTGTGGTGATGCTGTGAAACGCTTCGCTGATTAAATACTAATATAAGACTTTTTCGGCTCCCACGTTCAACTTGATAAACGTCTTCTGGGCCTTGGTGCATGCAGACAATGGAAGCGATAGCGCCCCCAGCACTTCCTGTAGTGTATTGCAATGCCGAATGAAAAAGACCCGTAGCTCTGAATCTTTTTATACAATACGAGGCGTCGAGTATAAAAATCTGCGTCTGCAATTTTTCCCCATTTCAACATCGGCGATTACGCCGACTAATCGTTGCTGTTCGAGTTGAGACCAAGTCATGAACAAAGTACGGTCAATCCAGACCAGACCAAACCAGACCAGACCAAACCAGACCCGAACAGGCCAAACCAGACCAGACCAAACCAGACCAGACCAAACCAGACCCGAACAGGCCAAACCAGACCAGACCAGATCCGAACAGACCCGAACAGACCAGACCAGACCCGAACAGACCAAACCAGCCAGACCAGATCCGATCAGACTAAATCAGATCAGACTTATACAGACCGGGACCAGACCAAACCAGACCCGGACCAGATCCGAACCTGATCAAACTAGACCAGATCCTACCCAGACCCGATCAGACTGAACCAGACCCGACCAGACCAGATCAGACCAGACCAGATCGGAACAGACCAAACCAGACCAGACCAGATCCGAACAGACCAAACCAGACCAGACCAAACCAGACCAGACCAAACCAGACCAGACCAAACCAGACCCGAACAGACCAAACCAGACCAGACCAGATCCGAACAGACCAAACCAGACCAGACCAAACCAGACCCGAACAGACGAAGCCAAACCAGACCAAACCAGGCCCGAACAGACCGGACCAGACCAAACCAGACCAGACCAAACCAGACCCGAACAGACCAAACCAGACCAGACCCAACCAGACCCGAACAGACGAAGCCAAACCAGACCAAACCAGACCAGTACAGACCCACACTGCACAACACACTACTGAACGTGTAACTTGCAAGCCTTGCAAACCACGTTCCCCTGTTTCCCACGAGCAATGAAATCGTGCAGCTCTCAGAGGCTGAGACTAGGTTGAATAAATTCGCAGTTCGATTACGAGACGAGGCAAAGACCTTCAAAAAAAAAGCGATCTTGTGACAGGTGTGGAGCCGTTCAACGCCGAGGTACGTCGCCTAATGATACCCATCATGCGTTGATCACTTAAACTCACCCTAAAGCAGGAAGCTAGGTGCATTACATCATGCTGGTAACGACGGTACAGTGGCGCAGTCAGGAGCGGGGAGCTACATCTTCCCCCAGAAAGAGATCAAAAGGATTTGATTTCCCAGAATGCTCCTCACTCCTAAGAGCTGCGTGCCTTCTGTTGGAACAGAGGCGAGCGCCGGGCTAAGGGGGCTCTCGCAAGAAGGAGAGGGAGTCGGGCGTGTTTCGACAGCATGAAAGGGGGGCTCTGTAAATTCCTGTTTTGATTTTTGAGATGGGGATGAAGGGGGGGGGGGGGCAGCATCATCGCAGCCTTAAGAACATGACAGTCCGTGCAAAATGATGGCGGCATTCAAAGCCAATCTTGATTTCTCCTTGTGACAGATTGTGTGTGTGTGTGTCTTTTTCTTTCATTCTTTCTGGTCTTTATTTTTTTCTTTTGCTGCTTGTTCTTCCCAGCGACAGACAGACTCATAGAAGCGCTAAATCACACTTCATGGCTTTGCATAAACACTTAGCGCACCGCCATTTTTAACCACGAGGAACCCAGCGACCTCAAAAGCACCAAAAGGCGCGTCGACTCGCACTCAGGTGCCACCTCGATGTGTGTGTCGAGCCCATCCGCCCATTCTGTTATACTGTACGGCCTTGAGCTCATAAGTATCTGAGCACAAACACAAACACACACACACACACACACACGCACAGGGACAGCCCTGGTGTGCTGGCGCCGAACCAAAGAGCCGGTGATAACGAGGTTGAAGTTAGTGAGGATTTTTAGCTGTGCCTCAACCTCCTAACACCCTGTTTCTAAATCCGATTCATCCCAAAAATGAGATGTTTTTCCAAGAGATGGAGATGAAAACACTCTCTCTCCCTCTTCCCTTTCTCTTTCCCTCCCGTCTTTCCTTGCCAAGTACAGTTCAGCTCCCCCCCACAAATACACACACACACACCCTTTCTATTACTCTCACACACTATCTGTTTCACACCCCGCTCCCTCCCTCCCTCCCAGTTCTCTCACATCTCTCTCTCCTCTCTCGTCTCCTGGCACCTCGATGTGTTTCTCTTTAATTGAGATGCATTTCAATGTGGTGCAAATGAGCTTTTCTCCAGCTCGTCTAAACTTGCAACCTTTGCGCACGTGATTCTCTGTGTGTGTGTTGTACTATGTGCGTTTGTGTGCACCTGTAATCTATACATGTGTGAGGGAAAAATACTTCCCACAGTAGACGGCGAAGTTGCTACCTTCCTGTTTCGGCTTCTCCAACGCATCTTCTGATTCCTCCTCCTGCCTCCCACCAAAACGTACACTTTTAGAACAGCCGTAATAACATTCACTGG